TCTCAATAATTCGATATAATATGCCGTGTGAATCGGGCTATAGAATGTTGGGAGGGACCTCTTCAACGATGACAGGGGCCTCTTGAATGGTGGGAGGGGACTCTTGAGGGATGATAGGGGCCTCTTGAACGATAGGAGAGGCCTCTTAAACGATGACAGATGAGTCGGCCTTCTTATTACAGAGTCTTCGCACTATTGGGGTGAACGGAGACTTAATGGCACGTGCACGCCGTCTGATGCGTGAACCCCGTCATGCAAGAAAAACCCGACGTAAAGCATCCACCTTATCGGGCCGCTAAAAATAAATTATTACATAAAATCAGTAAATAAACAATCATGATATTAAACAGTGAAAACAAAGACAAATATGTTTCAAACTTGCACGGTATTCACCCAAGTCATTATTCTATCATAGTTCACAAAATGCATCAGATAACATTCCGGAAGTAAGCACTTATATAAACATTTAAAAGGACAACATATAGGTTTAGTGCATGTTCAAGGACAACATAAAGGGTAGTAGTTTATTCTTCAAACTTAAATTTGCAACACTGTGAAGTTAGTATTTGTCTTTGTCTTTTGGTTGAAGTAATGCAATCCATTCAAGTTTCAATTTACAGAAGAAGAATAGTTTCTGAAACTTAAAATCGCAACACGAAACTTAAAATCGCAACATGAAAATGATTATCGCAACGCGAATTTGACTATCGCAACGAGATAATCGCAATGCGAAATGATTATTGCAACGAGAAAATCGCAACGCGAAACCAAAATCGCAACACGAAACTAAATTCGCGTTGCGATAGTCATTTTCGCATTGCGATTATCCCGTTGCGATAGTCAAATTCGCGTTGTGATATTCATTTTCGAGTTACGATAGTCGTTTTCGCATTGCGATTATCCCGTTGCGATAGTCAAATTCGCGTTGCGATAATCATTTCCGTGTTGCGACTATTCTTCTTCTGCAAATTGAAACTTGAATGGATTGCATTACTTCAACCAAAAGACAAAGACAAATACTAACTTCACAGTGTTGCAAATTTAAGTTTGAAGAATAAACTACTACCGAATAAATTTACTAAGCAATCCAAAAGACAAATATGAATTTACTGACTTCAACCAAAAGACAAAACAAAGACAAATACTAAGTTATTTTAGAACTGTTTAGCAGTATTGGCAGCAACCGAATGAATTTACTAAGCAATCCAAGTGAAATGGTTAATCTAAGTGAAATTACGAGTAAATCAAGTTAAATGAAAAATCTTAAACTTGCCTCGTTGCGTAGAGTATGAACCTCATTCTACAACGATGCTACCATCTCACGTAGAACTGCTACCTCACCACGTAAAGTAGACACCTCCTCACGCCATTCACCATTGTCATCGCGTAAAGTACTGACCTCCTCACGCAAGGCATTGACCTCATCACGTAACTCTCCTAACTCATCCCGTGGAGGTGGAGAACAGAGAGATAAATGTCGTGGCATCTTTGCCGGTCACCTATCATGAGGTGATGGTGGAGAAGAGGCTCGATGATGTGAAAGAATAGGTGATGACTCTCGTTGTAGAGGTGTATAGTGTGGTCGATCAGGTGATGGCTCTGGGTGAGGTGATGGCTCTCGAAGTAGAGGCTGCTCATCATCCGTGCCATCATAAAAACGCTTACTAGCTTGCCACCAATCAGTGGCAAGCTCAGCCTCCGTGGGTGTCAGCCTCTGTAATGGAGTGTTGGCCTCCTAACAATATAAAAGCTCAAATAAAGTTAAACGTGTACTAGTAATAACTTGTTTATATATGGTAGTATTTGTGTTAACTTACATCATTTATTGTCGTATACCGTAGTAACTCTTCCCAAATCAACAGCCGTCGTTTCTTCTTCCGGGAAATAGCCCTAGAAATATCATTTGAAGTTTTGAATCATATGTCTGCATGTTGGGAAAAGCCTCAAATATCCAAATCTACAAACAATATAATACACAAACATTAGTAATTGTTAAAATAATTAATTATAATTTTGGAAACATTATATAGAAATTCTTACCTTAAAGGCCCAAATAAAACCTGACAAAGTGTATTTGGAACCATCGCCATGCAAACTTTTGCGGTTATCAAAGGCAGACGACAACTTATTCCATGTAGCTTTCCATAGATACGAACCCTACGGAAATAGGTTCCATGCATTTAGGTCCTCTACCAATAATATTAGGTCCTTAGGAATAGGTTGTCTACCCTCTCTGCCTAAAAAGCCGGCATGCAAAAGTACTAAAAGGCATACTCAGACAACATCGACGTCATCCATCCGAGTAAAACCATCTTTCTTATTAAATAATCTCGTCAAGTCGTCGACGTGTAAATTCGGCTTCTCCATTGACAGCTTAGGAAAAACCCGGGATAACCATGATGGGCGGGTAATATGACTAGTGTATCGACCTACATCATCGTGTCCGAAGCGTAGACCAGTGATTAAGCAAAACTCCTCCCACCCAAAACACATATACGCTGGTAGAAAATAAAACCATATCTCTTCATTACCAAGTTCTATACTCTCGGGTAGATCGCGTGTCATGGTCTGAAGCCACAAATAGGTCAACATAGCATCTCCACCCGGATGTTGTACTTTTAGCCATGACCCGAAGCAAGTATCCTCAAACAATTGTCTTTGTACAGGTGAAAGCTTCGACGCAATTGTAGTGACTAGGCTTATTTTATTCCTTAAGGTCAATTGAGCTGAAAAAAGTTCTACAAAAACAATAAACATACCAAGTTAGATATACCAAAAACTACACTGTGAAGATATACCAAAAACAATAATAAACATAAAGCGTAGTAGTTTATTCTTCAAACTTAATTTTGCAACACTGTGAATTTCGTATTTGTCTTTGTTTTTTGGTTGAAGTAATGCAATTCATTCAAGTTTCAATTTGCAGAAGAAGAATAGTTTCTGAAACTTAAAATCGCAACACGAAAATGAAAATCGCAACACGAAAATGATTATCGCAACTCGAATTTGACTATCGCAATGAGATAATCGCAACGCGAAATGGCTATCGCAACGCGAATTTTGTCGTTACGATTTTCATTTCGCGTTGCGATTCTTGGTTTCAAATGGTCATTGTCTAAAATTGAAACTTGAATGAATTGCATTACTTCAACCAAAAGATAAAACAAAGACAAATACTAACTTCACAGGGTTAAAGACTAAACAGTAGCAGTATTGGCAGCAATCTATTATTGAAATTACCAGTAAACTTATCATTAATTTCAATATGAAAAACCTAATAATAATGCAAAAATTTCAAAATAAAAATAATTAAAAGAACTAACCCTCGGTGATTGATTTGGTTGATTTTCCATTTTTGATCGTGAATGATTGTGAGGGTGGCTCTGAGAGATGGAGATAGACGGATTTCGCTGGAGATGGGGACGGATTTCGCGGTAATGGGGACGGATTTCGTCGGAGATGGGGACGGATGTCGCCGTAGAGAGTGAGAGATGGAGATGGGGCTGAGTTGTGATTTAGGGTTTTAGGTTAAGAGTTACGATTACGGGTAAATATTCGTGTTTGGAATTTGAAAATAAAATACGCGTTGCGATACTAATGGCGCTTTGAAAATCGCATTGCGATTTTATATTATCGCAACGCGATAGTCAGAATCTCGTTGCGATAGTCAGAATCGCGTTGCGATCACGTATTATCACGTTGCGATAGTCAGAATCGCGTTGCGATCACGTGTTATCGCGTTGCGATTTACATATTCGCATTGCGATTTACATATTCACATTGTGATTATCTAAAATCGCAACGCGGATTTCGAAAATCTCAATGCGATGGTCAAAATCGCGTTGCAAATCTGGAAACTGAATTGCGATAATGGAGATCGCGTTGCGATTTAGAGATCGCATTGCGATTTTGTTGGTCATTTTAGCAATTCGTAAAAAAGTTGGTTAAAATCGTATATTATAAGGAATTTTCGGTCACTGAGATTATTTTCTCTATACTAAAATGTATGATTTTATGGATAATATTATTGAATTAACATATTTAGCGTATAATTGATAATAGAATTATTAAATGATTTCAGTGATTAAAATAAATATTTTTTCTTCCTAAAAATCACGTGTTCAAGTAGCTATATATGTATATACATTATTAATAATTAAAATTTCACAGGTATTTTATTTAGTCAAAGAAGTTAACTGCCACCTGTGAAATTGATATTGAATGTAAGCAAATCCTTTTGGACGCCGATTAATAAAGAGGAGGTGATTGGGTTTTTGTTTATAAAATTGTTGGTGTGTTGTTCCATAAACCCGAGCCAACTCCATAGACATGATCCACCCAAAACGCAAATTATTGGATCCTGTTCCTGCAAATCGGAGCAATCAAGCGTTTCCAAATTGCTAAGCTGCCGCCTAAAATATTTTTATCTTATTATTTCCCATCAAAATTTAATGTTTATTTCTTTCAAAAAAATTAATTAGATATTATCTTGTAATCATTTTATATAAATAAAAAAAATTCAAATATAATATTATTTTGTAAAATCTTAAAAGTGAAAATAAGAATTAAACGACCTTAATAGTTAAAGAGATGACTTTTATTTAAAATTTATATGTTTAAACACTAATTATTATAAAATATTTAAATATTTATTATTAAATGATTTAGTACAATTAATCTAGATTACTCAAAAAGATAAAAAATCAGTTGAACGAAACCAATTAAAAAGCCTGCCCATTTGAAATAGAAATGTGTAAAATAGAAAAATAATTGAGGGTAAAAGTGGTAGTTGATGTTTTAAGGAGTTTCGTGTTATTTCGCATAAGTAATAAGGGTATTATAGTTAAATCGGAAATAAAATATCGAATTTATGGCTCATGTGAGATGTCGAATGTTAGCCCTTGGATTGTCCTTAATCCGACGGTTAGGAAAGAAACCCTAGCCAAAACTAAGCTGAGAGCGTGGCTACTTAAGCTTAAGGACGCAGCTTCGTTTCTATTCCTAATCCTTCGCTTGCGCTTTACGCTTTATTCTGCTGCTACGAGGCGAGCTTTAGGTCAAGCGAATCTCAAAGATTAAATTCCATACTTTACAGGTGCAATCCTTTTTGTAATAATTTTTTTATTTACTTGCTTTGATTTGAAGGAAAATCTGATATTAGTGGTTACTAGCTGATATATTAGTTCCTTGATTTATGTGATTTGAGTATGCTTTTTACGGATTTATTTTTAGTTTTCTCTGTCTGGTTATTCATTTCTAAGTGATTCTGATCTGATCCGTTTTGCTCACATGATTCTATTTTTTTTTTGTAGTATCGTATTTGATTTTACATTTCTTTTTGTTTCGATTGATGTATTTTTAGATTTTGTGCATCTATTTTTGTATAGAATCCTGTGGCTTTAAATCTCTAAAATATATTTTTTGTGGACATAGTTCATGTGATAATCATAGAACTACTGAAACGAATATACCCGTTGTGAAATATGTTCGCAAAGGACAAGATGATCAAAATGGTCAACGTCCATCCTCTCTTATGCTTATTTGTTTTAGATCAGAAAGGAAATGATAATATCCAGTGGCTGTAGTTCAGTGGAAAGAACTCCATTTTTATGGAGGACCTGGGCTCGAATCCCAGCGGCCACCACTTTTAAAACTTCAATTTTTTTATACAACTAAGTTTTTTTATTCCTCTTGAAACTTGTTTCTGCAATTGGATGTCAGATTTGTTTTTCTTCTTTGTTTCTTGTTGTCTAATTCCTGTTGTGCTTAGTTGAAAAGAAATATATTTGAGTTTTAATTTGTTTTATGAATATGTTGATGATGTTTAGTTTCTGTCTCCAGTTCTACAATGGGAAAAGAAAAGATTCACATCAACATTGTGGTCATTGGCCATGTCGACTCTGGCAAATCCACCACCACTGGTCACTTGATCTACAAGCTTGGTGGTATTGACAAGCGTGTGATTGAGAGGTTTGAGAAGGAAGCTGCTGAGATGAACAAAAGGTCATTCAAGTATGCCTGGGTTCTTGACAAGCTTAAGGCTGAGCGTGAACGTGGTATTACCATTGATATTGCCTTGTGGAAGTTTGAGACAACCAAATACTACTGCACTGTTATTGATGCCCCTGGGCATCGTGACTTCATCAAGAACATGATTACTGGTACCTCACAAGCTGACTGCGCTGTTCTTATTATTGATTCAACTACTGGCGATTTTGAAGCCGGTATCTCTAAGGATGGTCAGACCCGTGAGCATGCTTTGCTTGCCTTTACCCTTGGTGTCAAGCAGATGATTTGCTGCTGCAACAAGGTGAGATTTAGTACATTTTTGTTTTTGTTCACTTTGTTAATGGAAGTTGTTATCATAACTTGTTTTTGTGACTGAGCTGCACTGATTTTTCAATTATCATTTGTTGTAGATGGATGCCACAACCCCGAAATACTCCAAAGCAAGGTATGATGAAATTGTAAAGGAACAACAACAACAACAACAACAAAACCCAATTCCCATATGTATGGGGTAAGGGGGAGGTAGGGTAGTAGGCTACCCCCAACGCCAGGTTGAGAGTAACTTCCGTGAAAGACCTCCGGCAGTCAGAAAATTAAAAATTTAGATAAAATGCAATGCATGTATAAATAAATACATAAATACATAGCTAAACAGTATTCATATGCAGTCATTAAAATCATATGTGCGTCTGTAACGGGAATTAATCCCTGCATAATTATCCCTGCGAAAGAATCTCTGCATATAGACATAAACATAAGATAAGATCCTGCTAAATTTAAAAGAGGAAACATGAAGAGAATGATACACAGAAGTAAACGTTAGCAAGCCCAGTTCAAATCCTTCATAAATACCAATAACAGAAACGTATAAAAAGTATAAGTTATGGAAAATACTACAAAGACATTAAAAGAAGACAGATGTGATACACCCTATAGATGTGACCCACACTACTCGACTACCCTAGTCTTTAGCCTTCATATTTTCCTATCAGAGGTCATGTCTTCGGTAAGGGCTAAATCCCTCAAATCAGATCTCAAGCAGTCTTCCCACTTTCGCCTTGGTCGTCCTTTCCTTCTGGCACCGTCGACTGTAATCGACTCTACCCTCCTTACCGCATCCGACGGTAGTCGCCTAAGGACATGCCCAAACCACCGTAGTCTTTCCTCCCTCAATTTTTTCGGAAACAGACACCACCCCCAAGGACATCCTAATAGCAGAGTTTGTCGTCATATCCCTCAGAGTCTTACCACATGTCCATCGAAGCATTCTCATTTCTGCAGCCTCAATCCTCCTTACGTGATCCTTCTTGGTTGCCCAACATTCTGATCCATACAACAGCGCTGGTCTTATTGCCATTCTATAAAATTTTCCCTTAAGTTTTAGAGGGACCTTCTTGTCACACAGAACTCCAGTAGCGGCCCTCCACTTTAGCCATCCCGCCTTTATACGGTGTGTAACGTCATCATCTACACCCCCATCTTTATGTATCATAGACCCTAGGTATTTGAAACAATCCTTTGAGGGGAGAACGTGTCCTTCTATGCATACTTCTACATCTTCATCGTTTTGGTTCCCATTGAAGTTTGAATATAAATACTCTGTCTTTTCAATATTGATCCTTAAACCTTTTTCTTCCAAAGCAGTCTTCCAGGTAGCCAGTCTACTATTCAACTCAGATTTTGTTTCAGCAACTAAGACAATGTCGTCAGCGAAAGCATACACCATGGTACACCGTCTGGTGTCGCACAATAGATGTCGTCCATGATCAAGGCGAAGATGTAAGGGCTAAGAGCCGACCCCTGGTGGAGTCCGATTTCCACCGGGAATGCCTCGGTGTCGCCAACTGTAGTCCTGACGTAAGTAGTAGATCTACAGTACATATCACGAATCGCCCGGATATAAGCAGTTGGGATCCGTCTCGTTTCCAAAGTCTTCCAGATCGTATCGCGGGGGACACTATCATAAGCCTTCTCAAGGTCAATGAACGCCATGTGAAGATCTCTAGACTTTTCCCTATATTTCTCCATAAGCCGTCGAAGTAGATGAATCGCCTCCGTGGTAGACCTGCCTGGCATAAAGCCAAATTGGTTTTCCGAAACCCTAGTAACTTGTCTCAACCTAGCCTCTATCACCCTTTCCCATAGCTTCATGGTATGGCTGAGGAGTTTAATACCTCTGTAGTTACCACAACGTTGGGGATCTCCTTTATTTTTATAGATTGGTATCACCGTAGACTCTCTCCACTCATCTGGCATCTTGGCAGTCTCTAGAATAATATTAAAGATGTTGGTCAACCACTTAACTCCCTCTTCTCCTAGGGCCAACCACACAGTGATAGGAATTTGATCAGGACCGACAGCTTTGTCCCTTCCCATCTTTCTAAGAGCCATTTTGACTTCCTCAAACCCAATCCTACTTGTAGGGCAGTCATTGGCCGTAGTATGATAGTCGGCTAACCCATCAACGATACTATCTCTACATGGAGAGGCACCGTCATTAAATAAGCTAAAGAAGTAACTACCCCAAACCCTCTTAATATCGTGATCTTTCGCTAAAAGAACACCATTGTTGTCCTTAATAAACCTAATGTTACCTAGATCCTTTTTCTTAATCTCCCTAGATTTTGCAAGTCTGAAGATGCCATTTTGTCCTTCCTTGGTGTCTAATCTCTTGTACATTTCCTCGTATGCCTTATCCTTTGCTTTAGCTACCGTTTTCTTGGCTTCCCGCTTTGCCTCCTGGTATCTTTGTTTAGCTCTCGACCTTTCTTCGTCGTCATTACATTGTAGAAACTCCTTGAAGCAAGTTTGTTTTGTCTTCACCTTAGTTTGGACTTCGTCGTTCCACCACCACGATTCTTTATGTTCCTTGGCCTTCCCCGTCGACAACCCAAGGGTATTTTTGCCAACATCTCTGATGGAATTTGCCATATTTTTCCATAACATATCTGCATTTTTGAGTTTGTAGTTTCAAAACTTGTATTAGACAAAACCTTACTCCTAAAGTCATCAGTTGTCGCTCCATGTAAGTTCTTCCAGAGGATCCTAGGTTTACCAAGTTTAGCCCTCCTATGAGTGCTCCGCCCGTGGGGTATGCGATACACCAAAACCAACAATTTGTGTTGTGATGCACATGCCTCTTCAGGGAACACCTTACAGTCAATGCAAGCCCATCGTTCTTGATTTCTAATCAAGATGTAGTCGATTTGGGTACAATGTCCCCCGCTATGAAACGTAATCAAGTTCGCATCTCTCTTATTAAAGAAGGAGTTAGTGATCACCAAATCGTGAGCAGTAGCAAAATCAAGCAACGTACGCCCCCCATCGTTCCTGCTACCATAACCGAAACCCCCCATGAACACCGTCATACCCGTCGGTTGCACTTCCTATATGGCCATTGAAGTCTCCCCCTATGAAAACTCTTTGGTCCTCCGGAATGCTCCTAAGTATATCATCTAACTGAGAAGATCCCATTTGTCCCAATCTCTGGTTTTGAGGGTGACAACATGATTGAGAGGTCTACCAACCTCGACTGGTACAAGGGTCCCACTCTCCTTGAGGCTCTTGACCAGATCAATGAGCCAAAGAGGCCATCGGACAAGCCCCTACGTCTCCCACTTCAGGATGTCTACAAGATTGGTGGTATTGGAACTGTTCCCGTCGGTCGTGTTGAGACTGGTGTCCTTAAGCCTGGTATGGTTGTGACTTTTGGTCCGACTGGACTGACAACTGAAGTCAAGTCTGTTGAGATGCACCACGAATCCCTTCCAGAGGCTCTCCCTGGTGACAATGTTGGGTTCAATGTGAAGAACGTTGCAGTTAAGGATCTCAAGCGTGGTTATGTTGCTTCAAACTCAAAGGATGATCCTGCCAAGGAAGCTGCCAACTTCACCTCTCAGGTCATCATCATGAACCACCCGGGTCAGATTGGAAATGGATATGCCCCAGTCCTTGATTGCCACACCTCCCACATTGCCGTAAAATTTGCTGAACTGTTGACCAAGATCGACAGACGATCTGGTAAGGAGCTTGAGAAGGAGCCTAAGTTCTTGAAGAACGGTGATGCAGGAATGGTGAAGATGGTTCCGACCAAGCCCATGGTTGTGGAAACTTTCTCAGAATACCCACCGCTCGGTCGTTTTGCTGTGAGGGACATGCGTCAGACTGTGGCTGTTGGTGTCATCAAGAGTGTTGAGAAGAAGGACCCAACAGGTGCCAAGGTCACCAAGTCTGCTGCCAAGAAGAAGTGAGCTGTTGCGTTGGAGACATGCATGGATTACCATTTTTGTCGAGCGTTTGCTATTTACATGGAAGTTTTAACTTTTCGGACCAATTTTAATATGTTTTAGTTTTATCTTGTTCTGGTTGAGACTTTTGTTCAAGTGTCGAGGTTTGCTTCATACTGTGGGTTAATCGCTTCTAAACAATTTTAGTTTGATATTTATCTTTTATTTGAGTTTCTTTTTTTTTACTAATTTGCTTTGCCTGTTTCCTACTTTAGTTTAGGCTGTTACATTCAATTTTGGAAGGCAAGCTTTGTTCTTTGTTTACTAATTTTCTTTACCTGTTGGTTAATACCGAAGCTCCTGGCGTTCATATTCTCTAGAAGCCTTATTTTATAGTTACAATTGTTTGGGATGAGAGCTCTGTATGATACCTTAACAAAGGTTTCAAAAATGAAATAAGTTATAAAACTGAATGTAAGTTTTTTAAAAGAAAATGTTTATTTAGGTGGAGCAAGTATAATTATTTCAAATCAAAATTACTTGAATTAAATAAACCTTATTTTATAGTTACAATTGTAAGGTTTTTTTTAAGTGAAACTCGGTATTAATTTTTTGGAATGGAGATACAATTGACTTGCCTGACCCGAGTCTGTTAGTTGATAGCCCAATCTATTAGTACCAAAAAGAAATGATGATTTAACGCCCAATCATGTTGTCACCATCTAAAGTTCCTTGTAATGTTAGAAAAGTAAGTGCGGTGCTCGACTTCTTCCATCTCATTCAACCTCATCTTAACAATAATACCCTTCATTAAAATGGCATTATTACCTCTCAGCTCCACCCTTTTCAATGTTTTGGAGTAACCATGCCGCTAACACTTGAACAACATTCTGCAACTCAAGGAAATACTAAAAGCATGACAACAATGAACATTTGGTCAACCCTAGTCATTACAGAAAATGAATCATTGAGTGACAGCAGGTATAAAATAAGGTATGAATTGTTTTTGTAATAATATTTAGTTGATGGGTTCCATCTCAACAACTATCTGGTAAACAGCAGCAACTCCAAGGCCCCCATTGTTTTTTCCCTTGTTTCTTTTACTTCAAGCTATGCTGAACTACCCCCTAACATCATTTAAATATAAAATCAAACCCCCCATTACTCCTTTGTCTATCCCCCCCCTTCTGTTTTCAAATAATCCAGACCTCAAAAATCCATGGGGTCTGCTGAGAGATCAAAGAAGAAAGTTCAGTTATGGAAGAAAGCCATTGTTCATTTCTCTTTGTGTTTCGTTATGGGGTTTTTCACAGGCTTTGCTCCTACTGGTAAGGATTCATTTTTTTCGAACCATGTTGCTGATAATAAATCACTTACTAGTTCGACTCAGCATGTGAACCAGTCAGTAACATCAGTGGCACATAGCAGCAATGTTAACAGAAGTTTGAGAGCCGAAACTCCGGTTCCGGTGCCGGAGCCGGAGAGTTCAAAACGAGATGACGTTGATGTTGTTCATGAAACCAATGTGGCAGCCGGGAGACTTTTAATTGTCGTTACACCTACGAGCACTAAAGATCGGTTTCGAGGTGTGTTTTTGAGGAGGCTAGCCAATACCATACGGCTGGTTCCTCAGCCATTGTTGTGGATCGTTGTCGAATCGAAATCGGATTCGAACGAGGTATCGGCTATACTTAGGAAAACGGGGATTATGTATAGGCATTTGGTGACAAAGGAGAATTTCACAGAGGCTGAAGCAGAGCTAAATCATCAACGGAACGTTGCATTGAAGCACATTGAGCAGCACAAGCTGAGTGGGATAGTGCATTTCGCCGGACTCTCAAATGTGTATGATCTCGATTTCTTCCAACAACTCAGACAAATCGAGTACGTTTTCACTCACCCAACACTTTTTCTCATATAATATTTCTCTGTGAAAACGAGTTTCAAACTACCTGTACATAAGATTCTACATATACATATTGTGAAAAAGATGTTTGAGCTGCCAATTTCTGGGATTGTTTGGCAAATTTCAGGGTGTTTGGAACTTGGCCAATGGCGTTACTATCAGCAAACAAGAGAAAAGTAGTGATCGAAGGACCTGTTTGCGATTCGTCACAGGTTATAGGATGGCATCTAAGGAAGATGAATAACCACACAGATGATGACACCAAACCTCCCATTCATATTTCAAGCTTCGCGTTCAACAGTTCTATCCTTTGGGACCCTGAGAGATGGGGTCGTCCCACATCGGGTCAAGGCACTTCCCAGGTAAGCAAATATTCTCTCAACAAACTATTTTATGTTGGTATTGTTTTATTTCATGCTTACGCAATGATTTTTTTTTTTCCTTCAGAATTCTCTGAAATTTGTGAAACAAATAGTGCAAGAAGATGAGAGCAAGTTAAAGGGTATTCCAACAGAAGAGTGCTCCAAAATCATGCTTTGGCGTCTTAAGTTTCCCATTGGAGTTGTAGCGAGAGATGTCGTGAAAACATCCTCATTGTTTGATGTAATTAACCAAAGATGAAAATATATATATACATACATACGTACATACAGAAAGAGGAAGAACATGTTGCTGAGAGATCTCAAAAATTTTCCATTTCTCTTGTATTTTTTCTTCTACTTTTAAATAATTTTCATTCTCTCTCTCTCTCTGATTAGTGTCAATAACATTTTGGGTATCCAACTATTGAAATGCTGGGGGTTTATCCAATTAATTTGTACAATCATTTTGATTGGAATTAATGTCCAATGAAGCACTTTCCATGTATAAAGACGAGTCAACGAACTTGTTGGAAGTGGTTATACCAAATTGTTTGATTAGAAAGCAATCAAACGACATTTATGTCAAACTTTTGAAAATTCGATTAATTTTCTGATTTTTTTAATCACATTAAGCCTTTAAATCCAAGAAAAAAATCGATATAGTTTTTTTATCGTTTAAAATTATTGTTGATTATTATAGTGTTAACGTAATGATTTACTGCACTGATATGGTAGTCCACGATATTGATTTGATGATATGCATATATTAATATGACAATTTACATGTCAATGATGAAATTATGTATGAACTTAATATATTTTTTCTGTAAATTCGATGATTTATTTAACCTTAAAGGAAAAGCTATAAAATATAAATTGTTAAAAATATTTACAAATTATTAACAAGACATTTTTTTCGATAAAATTGTTTTATTTTTAACACTTTAAATTTTTACTTTTTAATAATTTATCATTTATCATTTCATAATTTATAATATTTTTATTTACTTCTTAAATTTTAATAATATTTTATTTATTAATTTTTTAAAAATATATTAATAGTTTTAGTATTTTATATTTTAAATAGTTTCTTAATTTAATTTTTTATTTAAAAATCAAATAAATCCCTAAAATTTATAAAAAATAATTAAATCTTTATCATATCATTATATACATATAAACCGTTACTTGAGTATTATAAACTATCGTATTAACATTTTGAACTATCATATTAAGTCTATTATTTTTCAGGCTGGCATATTATCTCGAGTAGGTTTTGCTTACAAGAAACGTACCTTATGTGGTATTGATAGTCTTGGATCATCACTCTACTCACAATTTTCTCATTGGCGGAAATCGGATATCAATTCATTAAAAGCGAACATCGTTGGCAGAGGCGTATCTACGGATAGACCTACGTAGGTTATGGCCCACCTATGCCCTAAAAAATAAAAAAGAATAATTTAAATAAAAGTAGGTATAAGTTATATTAAAAAGTTATATTACTCTAGTTGATATATTTTTTCTTTAATTAAGTTTAGATATATAGTTGTTATTATATTTTTAAATTAAAAATATATGCAAATTATGTTATAAATTTTTATTATATTTATATTAATTCACACATTAACAATTTTTTTTATTGTTGATTGCATCACATGTTCCAAAACTATAATATTCGTTTTAAATTAGTTCTTAAACTTTTGAAAATTTAAATTTTATTTCTAAACTACGACCTTCATTCTAAATTAGTCCTTAAACTTTTAAGTATTTTAACTTTATCCCTAAACTATGACATTCTTTCTAAATTAGTCCCAAACTTTTGAATATTCCCTTTTTATCCCCAAATTCACCCAAATATGTAATTAGTTTCAACCATAATTTAACCTAATTTATTCAAACATATAATATTATAGCTGGGTCTAATGATTTTATTAACAAGGGATGTGATTAGTATCTACATATAGTTGGGGATGAAATTGGAATGTACAAAAAGTTTGGGGGACCAATTTAGAATGAAGGTCATAGTTTGGGGGTGAAATTAAAATGTTCCAAAGTTTGAGGATTAATTTAAAATGATAGTTATAATTTAGGGATAAAATAGAACATTTAAATGTTTAGTGACCAATTTAAAATAAAAATCATACTTTGAGGTCATGTGATGCAATTAACTTTTTTCGATATTCACATCTTTGCTTTAACCCTAATTTTCTCTATTTTCTCTTTTGTTTTTTTCTTTGAAATCAGTGACGATATCAACCTTAATACTAGTTCGCTGACTGTCGATATTGATTATTTTTTTAATTTACTATGGCATGTCTTTGTTTTTTCTTGTTTTTTAATTTTTAATAACTTTGCCTTTATGGAACGTTTTCCTATGGTTTTATGGCACATTTCCTTTCCTTTTTGACATATTTTCAATTGTATGGTTATTTTCATTTATTTTTTCAGGGTTGAATTTGACATCGCCACGACTGATCAAGATGACACATATTTATTATCATATTGATCTTTCCTGCTATCGGAACCGTCTTTCGGTTGGGCACGGAATTGGGCTTTGACTTAGGAAAATGGATTAGGAGTCGCCACCGATCTTTTATTTTAAAACAAATAGGTAGATCAAATACCTTTGTTCTTACCTGATCTGCATCTTACCAAAGATGTGTCGGATTCGGGAGTCGGTTACAGTCAAGGAATGGTTAGCACCCTTGAACTGCCCTTTCGGTACTACGTAATTTCCAGTTGTCTTTAATTAAGAAAGTTTTAATTTTAAATTGAAAGGTAAAATAACGTTCCGAGACTTACCACTGATTGATTTAAACACCCCTAAAAAAATAATGACATAAAAAAACGAAAATGAGTCAGGTAAAAAGAATAAAATAAAGGAAATAAGAATGGAAATAATTTAGAAAATAAGAAAAAAAATCCAAATAAGCAAAAGAACAAAAAATAAAA